AGGTGCCCGAAGTGGGTTCGAACAAGAGTTTAGACTAATTCATTATATTAGGACAGGGAGATGTTGTTGAACAATAGTTTAGATCAGATATATTTGTGAAAGTGGTTGCTCATTACAGTTGTCGTATGTTGTTTCGGACCAAAAATCGATGCCCGTGGTCACGTTACACAGGTGGTCGTTTAATACAGGTAACTTATACAAAGACTCTATGGATAAACTATTTGGTGCCAGAAATTTTTGCCTGTTTTGACAGATGCCCATTGAATGCAAGTGGTCGCCTAAGCAGTTTTCACTGTATTTATTTTTCAACATAGTCACCGTTAAGGCCAACACATTTCTCCCAATGTGTAACAAGTTTTTTCATTCTGTCACTGAAAAATTCTTCAGACTTTTCTCGAATCCAGGACTTGACAGCTGCCTTCACCTCATCATCTGAGGTATAATGATCACCCTTGAGGTCTCAAGTAGAGGAAAACAATAAAAACCGCAAGGCGCAAGATCGGGGAATAAGGAGGTGTAGAATCAGTTCAAACTTCAGGTTTCACAGAGCCTCTCCAGTTGCGTGTGAGGTGACAAGCATTATCATGTTACAAGATTATTGGTGCCAGGCTGCCTCTAACAAGACAAACCCAACATCGGAGGTGTTTTAGAGTCTGTTATGTAGTGAGAAGAATTAAACATTGCAACGAGGGGCAACGGTAATTGTCTGTGGCAATGATCGGACATCCGCTGCGCTTTCATCAACAATTATGGCTTTTCCAGGCTTGCAACCACAAAATTTTATTATCCATCGATTTACAGTAACCTATCAACAACATTGTCACCATAAACAGCCTTTAAATGACGATGAATCTCAGTAGGAGTCACTTTTTCAGCAGTTAAAAATTTGATAACAGCACGCTGTTTAACTCGTGCTGACATAGCACTAGAATACGTCTCCATATTTCCACTTCTCAAAATATACTGAACTAGCTTACCCGTCGCACATTGCTGCGATCTCAGAAGAAACGAAATTCAAGCAAACTCATTATGATAAAATTAAATTTTCATTTTATCATTTTTATTGAAACTTATTATTATTATTCATTTTCATCGGAAAAATATTTCAAAGTGTCGTTTCAATTCTATTTATTTATTGGAGTGCTTGTGGATATACGATATTTTTTTGTTTTTCCGTCTGGTGCGTACACAAATAAATCGGAAGGTTTTCCGACGCGTGAGCTGGCCACATACAGTTGTCCATGCGAAAAGCACGGATTCTCCAAATTTAACCCACTCGCAGCGATTGTCAGAAGTGCGATATTCCTCATTTTTATATATATTTTTAAAATCCTTTATAATTTTCATTATTTAATTGCTCCTTCCTCTCTTCTTTGGCGTGTTGTGTAATTTCTGATAGTTGGATAATAAACCGTTTTATTGTAATTTGTCTTTTTAAATTATTTTGAGTCAATATTAAAATTTGGAAAAGGGGGATACCTAGATCGGTAAAATACGCGAATTTCTTCCTACAACTTAGGTTGTTCTTCGGGGTACAGTTAAGGTTTTAACGAAGCTCGAGTGAATACGTAATTAGTAAAAAAAAGTTGAAATAAAGTGATTAAACAAAAATTATTACAAATATCGTAAATAACAAATGCATATATAGAGATATTTTTTGAAAGGAAAAAATGGTCTTTACAATTTGAAATCGATCGAACACACTGCTCGAATGCTCGTGTAAATGCGCGCCATCTATCGTAGGATAAATGTACTTTGAGGGAGTGAATTAAAAAACTTTCTAAAGTTTCATGGCAATCATACTATGCCACAAACCTTCGCTGGAGTATATTAAACAACTTCCCAAAGTTTCACGGCAATCGGATAAACGGTGTGGTAATGCATGAAGGACATAGGACAGACACACAGACATACATTCATTTTTATATATATAGATGAACGCAACAACCTCAAACTGAACATGCACATAGAGGGAGAATGTTATTTCCATATGCCACCTGGCGCACTTCTGAAAATCATTTCATCTGTGCTCTACAAGCATGTGTGCATTACTTTTCAGCCTACCCTCATAGATTTTCTGATAATAAATCTTTTCTTCTATAACAGATGAAATTTTTATTATGTTAAATCAAAACATTTTTACATAAGAGATGAATAGGAATTAGCAGAAAATTCAAAATAAATTCATTATACTAGAAATTTCATTAAACTAATATTCATTATACTGAGATTTTTCATTCTAAAAATAATTTATAAGAATGCTTATCTGTGACATACAAACTTTTATATATTATATTTGTTTTATATATTATTATTTGTAGTATATCCATGAGTATGAAAGATGATTCCCTATGTCAAAAAAAAAAAAAAAAATTAAATGTTTTAAGGAATACTGTGTCAAGAAAAACTTAAATGCATTTGTAATGTTATAAATTGGAAAAAATTGGTTCAATCAATTTCTGAACTTTGACAACAAAAGTGATAAATATTCATTTCACTTATTCATTTAAAGGCATTTATTTTATTAGTAAGGAAAACCTCCTCCATATATAATAACAACATAACCCATTAAAAATGACAATAAACTAAAATAAATTAAAAGGATAAAATTAATACAAAATATATAAGAAAATATTATGTTACTAAATGCATGAAGTAAAATGTCTTTAAGAAAATACAATTAATTTTTTGGTTAATATGCAATGTAATTTTGTAAATAAAGAATACTTTTCGTTGAACAGTGAACTTTTATACTATTAAATTTTATACTATTANTAGGTGACCCAATGAATCATAGATGTAATAGTTCATAACTATAAATTTGGCTATAACTTAGATAATATTAGTTCTAGTTGTTTAAAATTTATTATACTTATATATATATATATATCAGTGGTGGCTTTTATACACACACACTAAAGAAAAAACTGAAGTACTAGATTAATAAAATACTTTGTGGATTTTAAACAAATGTTTTCATAAGGCATTTAAAACAAATATTCAATAATATTAATTATTATTCTTAAGAATACAGTTTAATCTGATTAATTCAACACATTGGATAAATTAAACTTACTATTAACTTATTTTCTTTGAAAACTAAATTTAAATGAAAGTTTAAAACTTTTTCAGTATAAATTGGAAGGTACAATATATCAAATATATTTTCAAAAACTCAGAGGGAAAGTTAGCATGAGATTTACTGATTAATGAATACTTGTGTTTTGGGATATCCTGAAATTTGTGTGTTCTGAAATTATCAAGAATTTCATAGTTTTAGTGACAATTGAATCTAGATATCAGAATTACAGTGGTACCTTGGTATACGTCTGCTTTAGAATACATCCAATTCGGAATACGTCCTGTTTGGACAAAACAAATTTTGCTCGGTATACGACTTTTGTTCAGTATATGACTTAATTCAATTATACGCGCCATCAATGAACAAGTAGCACTATCGGTGTATTAGACCAGACTAGACATTCGCGGTGCCATGGTTTATTACTTTGTTAAATTTCTTCTGATTTTAATTTGTAAGTAAAATTTTATTATTTTTATTAATCATAAATTGCAAAAAGGCATCAGAAAAATAAAAAGTGACTAGTATCACAATGGAACTGAAAAAAGAGATTGTTGAGAAATATGAAGGTGGCATGCGCGTTCGAGATTTAACTGTTGTGTACCGTATTCTGAGAACGAAGATATCGACAATCGTGAAAAATAAAGACATTATTAAATCTGCTAACATTGAGAAAGGAGTTAAATCAATTTCTAAACAGAGATCAAAGACATTAGATCATGTTGAGAAATTGCTTTTGCTTTGGATAACTGGAAAACAGTGTGCTAGAGACAGCGTATCAGAAGCAATTATTTGCGAGAAAGCTAAAAAAATACATGCTGATCTCATGAAAAATCAAGCTGGAACTAGCCAGGAAAGTGAGGTGTAAAAAGCCAGCCTTTTTTTTTTTTTTTTACATGAGAACGGATTAATCATTTTTACATTACTTCTTATGGGAAAGGTTGGTTTGGTATATGTCCTATTCGGTATAAGTCCAAACATCAGGAACGGATTAAGGTCATATACCGAGGTTCCACTGTATTTAGTAATGTTTTTTATGATATTTAAATATGAAACATACAATAAGTTTACCTTCAGTTATTAAAGGAGTGGAAAAGAAAGTAAAGGAAAAAAATGCGATATCACTGAATAATATGAAATATTAAGGATCACTAAAACATTTGCAGAAAACTCATTTGATGTTAACAAATAAAAAATTTTGATAATGTAAATGTTTTGGATTCCTCCATTAAAAAGATTTGGCAATATTTCCTTGAATAATTGTAGGCAACAAAAAAATTTAATCGTTTCTTGAAGATGTATTCCATATAGCTATTCTTTCTTTCATATATTACAACATTAAGCTGTTTCATTATATATTATTTAAAAAAAAAACTCAGAACAAAATGATAAATATAAACTGTAAATAATGGTTCCAATATTATGGTTTCTTACTTCTAAATTTGTATAATCGAACTTTCTTCAGTTATAAAATTATTAATCATTATCAGTTCAGCACAAAAATGAAACAAGTTGTTTAAAGAACTTCATTGGAATAGAAACAAATTTAAAATATAATAATCATCTCTGTATGGTACACATGCAGAACATTTGTTTGGAAAGTTTCTACACAAGCTAATAAAAATATATTTTGTTATAGTATTAATTACATCCACCATTAATATTACTTTAATAGTTTATTGACATTTCCAATGCATGTTTTATTTGTCAATGGTTAACAAAACAGCAATAATTTTCTTAAGTAAGAAAAAGAATGCCTTGAAGTTAAAAGTTAGAAGACAACAGTTAATTATTGACTCTAGTACAATAAGTTATGAATACAATCAATAAGCAAGTACATAAACAGTATTATTCTAAAGAGAAGTATTATTTAATTGCAAAAAATAGATATAATTCAAAATTAAAATCATTCTTAATTTACCTTTACAAATACATCTACTCTGTTACGAAATACAGATGTAGGACTTTCTTCATCAAATTCATCATTGAATTCATATGGATCTTTTGGTTTTATTGGGAGAGGGTCTGAGTCTTGATTTTGACCTTGACCTTCTCTATTATAAGAACTTGGAAAATATGATGATAATACGTCATTAGTATTTTTTCTGCAAACTGGAATAACACGCCTTCTTTTTGTAGAAGTAGTGTCCCTGTTAAAATTAAACAAATATTTATTTTAAAAAATCATTATTAATATAAAAAGTATGTAGAATTATTAACTCTTAATTTGAAATTTATTTTGTACTCTTTTATTTTATCTCATTTAAAAATGTTAATACTATATTAATAAACTATATTTCTTTAGGAAAGTCAATATTTACTTATTTATATTGTATTATTAAGTTATAAATTAATTTTATAAAATA